TTAAGTTGGTTATTTATAATAAATAAGTGTTGTTATTCCTAAAATATCTTTGTTAATTAAGTATATTGGCTAGAACTATCATTATTAGAAGGATTATCTTGGAAAAAATGTATAAATATAAGAGACAAAATGGATTGGGGTCTTATAATTAGGACCAAATAAAAAGTCAAATGGGGTCTTATAATAAGGATCGGAGGAGTACTATTTTAATGATTTTTCTAAGGATTTGAGAGAGTGACACATCATGAGATCTATGTAACTATATAACTGATCTCATGTCGTGGGATAAAATTTGTTATATATATGTGTGTGTGTATATACTATTTTTGATTCTAATTATAAGACTTTGTTTATAGATTATAAATAATATTTTATAATTAAGATTGGAGTTAGTATATATTAGGTTGAACAAATAACATGTTAATGGCTTAGCCCGCTTTGATATACTATCACATTTCGGCGTGGCTCCATGCTTAGGTTTATTGAGCTATAAGTTTAATAAACTTCAGAAAATAATTGGATAATTTCATTTGTTAGCTTATTTTAAGTAATTCTGCATTGTACAGTTAAATACGTGATGAAAGTTTTATATCCTAAGACATAAAAATACTTTTGAGGTAGGTTTCCAAACACCCAAAGGGTGGCTCGCCTACCACCTTTTTCCCACAGGATCCTTTTGCCTCAGAAATAGTGTTCCTCCACTTTCTTGTTCTTATCTCAAGTTATATACCACGTGTTAAATAATAGCTTGATTATGGGACGACAAATAATTTTCCAAGCTGATAAAGCATGCAATTAGATCATGGTCCAAATTAAATGAATGTGCTTGGATCACTCTTTTTGACCATGGTGTTTGGATTAATTAATTTAATGACTAATAATGACTAATGAGGCATATAAGAAACGTGGCAAAAACATCAAATGCAAAAATATATAAAATAAATAGGTCAAAGCAATATATAATAATTATACTACTATTTTTTTAGTTAGGTTAGTTATTTATAATAAATGAGTGTGTTGTTTTCCTTAAAATATCTTTATTAATTAAGTGTGTTAGCTAGAACTACAATTCGATGAAACTTTTACATGTGTAATTAGTATATGAATTACTTTAAAAAAAATAAATAGATATAAAAAATAAAATAAATTGGAGTTTTATATTTAGGATTATTATTTTAAATATCAAACTAATTCAAAAGCTGGAGGTCGAATCTTGATGTGGCTGCTTCTTATTGGCTAGCCAGTCATCGTGCTCCCGCTTAGCTTATTCATCTTCATGGCAGTTCGGCTTCACACCCAGAACAGTAGCCTCAGGAGTAATCCAGGAACTAAAACGCATGCAGATTCCCAGAAATTCAGTGCTTTGACTGAATAGAGTCAAAGTTGAAGAAATAGTTTGAACGAAAAAGAAATATCCATCAAAATTTTGTATATGCTCACACACACACACACACACACATGCGTACAGGTAGTTAGTTAATGAACCAAAGTCACAAACAAATCGAGGTGAACCGGTCGCCGAGAGCTTAATTAATTAATAGCTTATCCAAAGTTTCCAATTTCACAGAGCAAGATCGACGGGTTATAAGACGATGAAGAAGAAGAGCTTGTCATTTTGGTCCATCATTCCCAAACTATTTTCAGTCAGGTTTTTTGACTGAAGACGCCATCATGAGTAAGGCTGCGGCGCCGTGTGGTGGGGTGGCGGCTCGCCGCCATGAAACATTTCTGGATGCCTCATAAAGTCAAATTTGGTTAATCTGTCATAAATTAGAGGCAGTGTCTTGTTTTTTCACGATTGATAGCCCTTTATCACTGGTGTAATCGAAAATGGGGCTGGCAAGAACCCTCTATCCACAAATGAAGAATTAATAAAAGAATATATTACTTGCCATTCTTAGGATAAAAACTAGTTTTATTTTTAATTTGATTTTAAATATAAGATCGTAATTTATTTTGTCTCTTATATTTATTTATTTTTATCAAAATAATTCTTATAATAGTTACACATATTAAATGTTACATCAAATTGTAGTTTTAGCTAATAAAGTTGATTAGCAAAGATATTTTAAAGAGGACAACACTTTGTATTATAAATAATTAACTTAACTAATTTTTTTATTCGACTCAACTTGGTCAACCAACTCTAATATTAAAAACCAGAGGTAGTAAGATATTAATTTATTTTATCTTTTATATTTATCTTTTTTTCCCTCAATCCTATTAGCTCACCTTATAAATTTTTATACATATATTTATAAAAATCTAACGTAATATAAATAGTTAAGAAAGATTAGATAACATTTATTGCAAGTAAGTGCTTTATTTAATTTTTTAAATTTATCCAAATTATTTAATTAAGTTTTTATATGAAGAATAACCAATTCCCTTTGGTTCAAATGTAAGGCATTTTTCTAGTTAAAAAATGTAAGTGGATTTTTATTTAAAACACAACTATTATAATTAGGAGTAAAATACTATAACCTCCCTTGCATTTTGTCTTAATTACATACACGTCTCCTTGATTTTGAAAACATACACTTAAATCCAACCTGTTAACTTCGTTCAGAATATTTCAAAAAGATTTTTTTAAATTTAAATTTATATTGAAATACTTTCTATTTGCTAAATTACCCTTCATAATATTAAATCTCAAAATCTTGGTTCAAACTATATTGAAGGATTTAAGATTTTTTCCTTTACCTTAATTTTATTTTTTCATTTTTGAAAATTTTTGTTTGTTTAATGTTTTTATCGTATTGGGCCAAAAAATTAGGGGTGTTCATCAAGCCCGCTAGCCCAATATGCCCGCCTGAACCCGCAAAAAAAAAGCCCTGCCCATGGGCATTTTTAGACTGGGCATATTATGGGCAGGGCTGGGCTGCGGGCAAGATATGCTGCCCTGCCGTTTGGCCTGCCTGTGATATATATTTATAATTCTTTTTTTTTGCCAGAAATACTTATAATGATATATAATATATATAATAATATGTATTATTTTCCCCTCTTCCATTTGCCCTAGATACATTTAGTAGTATGTGTAATTCTTCCTTCTTAGTATCTTTTTAATGTTTTTCTAATTTGGTTTAGTATCTTTTAGTTTTTTTTCATTGTTGGTTGTCTTGCAAAGATGCAAAAACAAACTCACTTTAGTGTTGTATTAAAAGATATATCTATTTAACACAAATCAAAGTTATTGATTTGTTGAATTTATTGTTTATTCAAGTATTTATTTCTTTATAGTTGTTATAAGATACCCTTACTTCAACTAAAAAATTTTTCACCAGGGTATCATTATTTGGACTTGGAAGCCCGCCCTGCCCAGCCCGTTATTACCCAACCCGAAAATGGTTAGGGCTTCTATGAGCAGGGCAGGGCAGTGGGCTACAAAATGCAGCCCGCTCATCTTTCGGGCCGGGCATCGGGCAGGGGGCATGGCCTGCCCAGTCCTGCCCATGAACACCCCTACAAAAAATTAAGTTATTTAGTTAATGTAAACGTAAATTTAAATAATTTATATAAGTTTTCAAACTCGCAATATATATTATGTGATAAGAAAATAAACATTCAAAATTTTTTCTAGCCATTTAAAAAATATTAAGTTTCAATGTTTCTTGAGAAACTAAAATTATATAATTCTATAATATAATTGAAATTAAAAATTTGGAAAATACATGTATTATAATTATTTTTGTTGTATCAAAATTATTTTTTATAGATATAGATGTTTAAATAACATTTATATTAAAGAGGGATATTTTGGTCAAAATAAAAATTTAAAACTCAAACTTAACGGTCAACTAATGGTTAGATAGATATAAATTAAATCTTAAAAATACAAAAGAGGTTTGTGTAACATATATTTTAATTCGAAGAAAAATTCATATACATTTTCAAAATAGAAAGGAGGTTTCTGTAATTTAAGTAAAATAGAAGGGTAGTCAATGTATTTTACTCTATAATTAAATAGCTATGGTTATATTTTTTAAACGTTATCTTTATTTAATACCAAGTATAATTACTTTTTTATGATAGGAAATTAATTGTAATATATTCCTAATTAAATTTTTAATAAAAATATTAATTACTCACAAACTTGTATAAAAAGAAAAGAAAAGAAAAAAAAGGCCGATTATTTATAAACTATGAGCGGCATGACTCATTCCCCCGCCCCATGTCAATGTTCAGCGCTCCTTTTGTTTTATGTTTGATAAGTTTTAAAATTTTAATTATTGTGGAAGGTCAACAGAAATTTTAATTATTACTTTTAGGAAAATTGGGGAAAAATTTACCACAATACTTAAAATTTGTTTAAAAATTCATAAACCTATTTTCAACTAGCATACTTTTTCCTTTCTTTTTTTTTATATATGTAAAGGAAAGAAATTTGCACAAATTAAAAAAGATTGTCCTTAAGATATTTTGGGTTAATATAATCTTTAGCCTTTTAAGTTTGTTTTTATTTTAGGTTTAGTCCTTTAACTTTTAAACTATAACTTTTGGTCTACTAAGTTCTTTTTATTTAAAATATTAGTTTTTATAATTTAATAAAAATTTGAACTATTTTTTTTTAAAAAAAATCAAAATCTATGATTTAAAACTTAAAAGACTAAAAGTAAAACGATAACAAACTTGAGAAACTAAAAAATATATTAATTTTTTTTGCCAAACAAGGTCAATTTTATTAACAACCCAAAGAAATAAGTACAAACACCACCCACGGAAGGCAAAATAAAAGCACTAAAAAAGAAACCTAGAATCTTATAACTACATTAGGCAAAAAATTTTGTCACAAGCAATTTTTCAGGACGTTTCTCTTATTTTTATTGTTAATTTAATAAGTGTGGGCAAAAAAAAAAAAAGTAACAAATTTTATTTGAAAAAAATGAAAAGCCTACAAGCCTATTGATTATGCGTGAATAATTGCCCTCACGAGAGACACATGAGGCAACCCACATGCTATTCCCCCCTCTCTCTCCAGTCCCCACCCCCAGCCCATCCCGTCACTCCGTCGAATGAGTCCCTGTGACTCGTGCCTTTCAGGCCATGCTCCCAACCGTTGAGCCTCGCACTTCAACACTATAGCAACCCCTCCTCGCGGTGGCCGCAGCGCCGAACAACTAGAAACTCTTCGAATCTTTAATCAATTGATCAATTAGTCCAGGTTGAGCTTTTGCTTTCTTCAATTTTTTCTTCTGGGGTCAGCATCTGAGCACTTCTGGGGCTCTGAATTTTGCCTTTTAATCTTTTGGGCTGATCGTTAGATTCGGAAGCTAATCTTCTCAACATTTGAGCGAGGAAATTGCGTCCTCTTGTACAGAGAAGAATGAGGGCAGGGAAAGGGAATCAGGAGGACGATGAGTACGAGGAGGAGGAGTTCGGTTCTAAAAAGGAAGGTCCTTCGTCTACGCCTAATAGCAATAACACCGGCAAAGGTAGTTCTTTTCGTTATTTATCATCTAGTTTTACGTGAGCGTTAGATCCGGTTATTGGGTATTTGTTTTATTGGTACGAGGTCCTATTTTACTTGTCGATTTATTCCGTTCGTAGGCTTATCTCATCATGTTACCTTTTTTTCCCCCCCTTAAATTAATTTTCTTTCTGTCCAGTTATCTTGTAATTACAAACCACGTTGCAATTTCTGTCAGTCAAGTGTTAATCTTATCTGGACAGTCCTAAAATTTTTTTGGCTCTGTCTATCAGCGTCTGTCAGAAAATCTGCATATTGTTGTTGCAAAATAGTTCTGTCCTCTCTGACCTTTTTAGCTTCAGATTGTATTTGTTTTTCAATATGCTGAATATCATTGGCGTTGTTTTGGCATAGATGTTGAAATTAGCCATCGGCTTAGAACTTCAAGGTTTGTTAATCAGAAATGTTTGGTCGACTTTTTATGCTGTCTTACCTTGTCTGGGAAAAAGTTGGGTGGAATTAACTTGTTTATGTATAAATGTATGTATCATTTCTGAGTTCTTGCGCAATTCTTTACTGTCGCCTCTGGATTAGTTGGAGTTCTTATGTTGGGAAGCGTGGTGTTAAAACAGATACAAAAGCTATTGATAAAGCTAGTGCTATAAGATCGAAACATTCAGTTACTGAGCAGCGAAGGCGGAGCAAGATAAATGAGAGGTATGTACAAAAAATTGTTCTTTGGGCCTCAAGAATTTGGTGGACCATGTGTAATATTCAAGTCATTGATTATGGTGATGATTTCAACTTTCTCATCACCATAAATGAGACTGTTATTTTTCAAACAAGTGTTTGGGCACGAGTGATATCCTTGATGGTCCATTAATCTAAATGTATATATGCTTGTGCTGAGATTGATAGGTTTGTCGTTGAAAGTAAATTTCTGTGCCTCTCAATTAAGCTTCAACAGTCTCAAAACATCAGATCTCAGGCGTAAATTTATTGATTTTGTTCGGACATTTAATCACTTTCAGAGTAGCTGTTAATTTAATTATTGCAAAAGGTTAACGACGTATTGTAGGACAAAAACAAAAAAGGGTCAGAACAAGTTTCTCATGTAGTTTGTGTAATTTGTATTTTATGAGGTGCAAAGCAGGTTAATAATGTATTGTAAGACAAAATCATAGAGATCAAATCGAGTTTCCTATGTTTTATGAGGTGCAAAGCATATAATGTTATCATATAGGACTTGGAGGCCAACAGAGTTATATGTTGCACCGGCACTACATAAGCACTCTGTAGCATATCTTGGAATTTATTTTTCTCTTGGGAAGTTTACTGCAATTTTCTGGTATCAGTTCTTGCAAAGAGTCATCACGCTGTAGATTGATGAAAATTAACCCCTTGCTTCAGATTCCAGATATTAAGAGATCTCATACCTCATAGTGATCAAAAGAGGGATACTGCATCATTCCTATTAGAGGTATGTTATGAGATGGCAATCGCCTACTCAAACTTGTTAAATCGACTTAACAGTCATATTACGTGTTGACTTTTCTTCTTCTTCACTTTTTTTTTTAGGTCATTGAGTATGTCCAGTACTTACAAGAGAAGGTGCAAAAGTATGAAGGTTCATATCAGGGTTGGGGTCAAGAGCCCACAAAGTTGATGCCTTGGGTAAATGAAAGATATTTTATGCTTGCTTATTGGTTTGATATGCCATTGACTTCATCACACGACTGCGGTAGCTAATGTGCTCATTTTTAAATATTTTTTCTACAATGTGTGGATGAATATAAAATGAAGGATAATTTAATCATGTTTACATGGTTTCTTGGCCCTTTATTTTTTTTTTTAATTTACTTAATTTGATTTATGATATTATTCATTTATACAACATCCTAGTTCTGTGTAGTTCTGGAATACGATTACCCGCATAACATTTTTTTTCCCATTTTGATTTTCTGAAATTGCATTTCATGATTTGATTTGAAATTTGCAACCTTGTTATTGTTACTCAATGAGAGGAGACGAAAGGGAGATGGAAGAAAGAGATCAAATGTCTTGGTTGAATTGGGGAAAGTAGTACTTTGCGTGGTCAAATTATTTGATCATATTTTACATTTCATACTATTTCAGAAAGCAATCTTAGCCGTTGGCAAAGAGAAAACAAAAGAAAGAAAGCAACCTTAGTCTTTCTTCTGTTTTCATTGTTCAGAATATGTGTGACATCAATTTAAAGTTTGCAGCTTATTATACTTGAGGAGAGGTGGATAAAGCAGATGCAACTATCCAAATAAATTGTGGAAACCACATTGTGTTCATCTCTTGTTTTTTTTAACTCTATGTAAAAGAGTTAAATTGTATAGTTGTTTGTTCTACAGAAACCATGATGGGACGCTTGACCAACACATATCTGAATGGACACATGAGCAGATGAATCAAAGAGTAGATAGAAAAAAGTTAAGAAATTTGGATAAAAAAATCGAATTTGTCTTGTTATATTTGTCCAAGATCCAGAGTTTATCAGAATTTTTTTTATTATATCAGTTACGGACTGGTTTTTAGTTCTCTAATTGTTGGGCTCTTTTTTCTGGTTGAACCATTAAATTTATAATGGTTTAGTTTGCTTACATACCTCAATGGTACAGAGAAACAGTCACTGGCGTGTTCAAGGCTATGGCCAACATCAAGCTGTGAAGAATGGTTCTGGTCCTGTGTCACCTTTTCCCGGGAAGTTTGATGAAAGCAACATTAGTGTCTCTCCCACTGTGCTCAGTGGCTCCCAAAATACGATCGACCCTGAACAGAGCAGGGATATTATCAGTAAAACAGTGGAGAGGCAAGCTGAGTTAGAATGCAAGGCAGTACCTCTTCCAATGCCTATGCATGCAAACATGTCTGTTCCTGTCAGAAGCGATGGTGCACTAGCCCATCCTCTTCAGGGGCCTGTTTCTGATGGGCAATCAGCTGAATGTCCAGCCAATAGTGAACCTCAGAACCAACAGGAAGAGCTGACAATTGAGGGAGGAACAATCAACATCTCAAGTGTATACTCTCAAGGGTGGGTGGTTGCTAAAAGATGATAATTTTCCTTTATCTGTTGCCATAAATATTTGGTATTCCTTTTCATATTATTAATATTATTATAAATCATGGTTCCCTTGTTATATTTTGCAAGTCTAAGCCTGCTGATTTTCTGTTTTGAGATCTGCTACTTTTTAATTTGATACTTATTGATTCATTATCGTGATCTCATGCCCCTTTTATCTTTCTTGAGTTGTGAAATTCTTGATGTGATCAAGGAGAAGAATTATCAAGTGGGTCTTAATGCATAATTGGCCTAGTGATGGTTCCTTGCTTTTTGAAGAATGCAGTAAAACCTCTAGGACCACTAGCTGCTGTTTATGAATTAGCCATACAGCATTTCTTCCCTTAGTTTTTGTGTCGCTAAAATCTGAATAGAAGTTGAATGTTTGTGTGTGGGATACTCTCTTGGGTTTGTTCAGTTCAACATTTTAATTTTATGTTATGCAAGAAACATGTGTTGGAGAAATGGGTTTCAAGCTGGTTTCCTCCTTGTGCTGAAGTTTAAAGTGTAATTGATGTTTATAAAGCACCAATCGTGTGTGTAGACTGATGGATAATTGCAAGCAATTGTTTGTGGTATCCCGAGTATCTCAGTTGATTGAAGTAAATGATATGAACTTGAGTTCTTGATTCTGATATATATTTTCTTTTGATTTGATTTTGAAAATTTTGTTGAATTTCTGGCCTTTGATGTTGAGTGAAATAAGCATGCGGCATTTGTTATGCTAATGTGGTTGGTTTTTCAGCTCTAATGATAAACTTGACATATTTGATGAACAGGCTGTTACACAACCTGACTCAAGCGCTACAGAGTGCTGGTTTAGATCTCTCACAGGCTAGCATTTCTGTTCAAATTAATCTTGGTAAGCGGGCAAACAAAGGACTTGGCTGTGGGACATCTACTTCTATGGTATTATAACTCGCTCTTAAATGTGACAAGATTATTATTCTTATTCTACCGTACATTGTTGGCGTTATGGTATTGCCTACTTGCTGGAAACGTGTCTTGGGAAAACATGAATATTCAATACGCTTGGGTATGTCCGTATACCCATTATAAATTTAATCTATTGACAACTATGGCCTCTTCATTTTTCAACCCTAATTCCTCATTTCTGTTTGCTGTTGCCACCTTATCCGTCCTCTACCGTCCGCCCTCCTTCCTTAGCCTCTGTTGTCTCCATCATCTTTTGCCTGCGTCTTCATCTCTCAACCTCTCCCTTAATGGCTTTGGCCTCAAATCTGCTTGTGGCTTCACACATTGTGAAGTTTCAGCGTATGGTGATGGCAACAACATCGATGGATGACAGAGCAATGACAATCATTGAACCCTATGTCTTCCCTCTCCCCACCTTCTATTATTGCTTCCCTCTTTCACTTTTGCTGATCAATCACTGACCCGCCGCCTGACTAAGAATGAAGCTATATCACCACCCAAGCTGCCATCTCCTCCTCCTCCATCACTCCTCACATCAAAGTGAATGAGTTTTTCCATTTGAGTGTTTTACTGTGATTGTTGCTGGGTTTGGTTTTGCTGGTCGTGGAAGTTTTCCTGATGGATTTTTTGATGGTGGATGGGTTTTGGTTGGAGGAATTTTTTTCTTCCTGAGAAGGGTATTTTAGTAATTTCATATTATAATTACTTTTCCCAATTAAAAACTATGCAAGACTTCTATGTGTATCCCAGACATGTTTTTAAACTCCACTTTCACTTCCCATCAAATACCCGAGTATACCAAACAGGGAAAATATGTATTAACATTTTGATGACAAATGTTTATTTTAATTGGTGTGTGAGATACCAACTGAAGATTTTAGATGACTTGTTGTGATTGGTCTGACAGAGTTAGGCTCTGATTTTTCTAACTTAGAAAATGGACCGATACACTGATAAGATACATTAAATTATGAACTTCAGTATTTGTGTTTTAAACTTAAACTAGTTTTAGGACTTAATAGTATGTAAACTAGAAGTAGGTTCTTTTTTTTTTTTTTTTGCCAACGTAAATTAGAAGTAGATTACATGTTAGAAAACTTAATACTCTAATGCTTGCATTTTAGCTTAGGCTAACATCTCGTTTTGTTGTGCAGAATCATGATAATATGCCATCTAGCAATCAAGCAATGGCACAATTTAGAGATGCAGGCAACGGAGAAGACACAGATCAAGCTCAGAAGAGGCTGAAAACGTAGAGAATGATTTATGAGCCTATATTTCATCCAGAATTCCCCTAGCTTCTTTCTGACATGGCATATCTGTCGAGGTTACTGTACATCCTTCCTTTGGGTTTGTGGATTTTCACCCATTCATGAAGTTCCTTTTAGAACTACAAGCCTTAGAACTCACTATTATTGGTGGGGATATTGAGGTTTCTTATGGTGTAGGTATGCCATCTGTTTTCTAGATTGATTGGTACATATAATTAATTCATCACTGTTATTGAGCTTTCGGGGTGGGAATTTTATCAATCTGTTAGGTCCTTGCTACGTACGGTTAAGGGAGACTCCTTGTAATGCAGTCTTTCATAAACTCTGCAGTGAAGGCGGAGGGAGTGGATTTAATTTCAGAGGATGTCATTTGGTAATAATCTTAATTATGCCCTACAACTTTTCAAGCGAGCTAACTGAGTTTCATTCCATTGGCTTGCAAATGTACGGGGGCAGTAAAATTTGCGGAATTTTTCTTTTTAATATAGCTATGTAAATAGGTCATATGAGATTTAATGGTGATTCTCCTAAAAGCGTCTTTTAAATTCACACGTATTCAAACTTGAATCCCGTATTTGAGCAGCAAAAGTCCATTTTCCTAGAACCAGTGGTGAACTTATAATGATTTAGTGCTCTTAGTTTAAGTAAATGGATAATACTCTTAATGATTTTTAATATAAGACTTATTGAACTAATTTGATTATATTAAGAAAATTATGAGTTAGTTAATTAATTATAAGAAATATGATTTTTTTAAACATTATAATTATTTTTCCTAATATTTTTTCTTTTTCTTACTTAATTGTGGTTAATGGATTATTTATAAGGTTAATTTAGAAAAAATTGATAAATATAATAAATATGTTTTATATTTAGAATCAAAATTGATTTAATAATTAAGTATTATATTAAAAACCGGAAGAGCAGTATTTGACAATACTTCTGTGTTTGATATGAGAGAAATGGAGGGTATGAGAGGAGAAAAAAAATTTAATGAGCTTAATCTAAAATTTTTTTGGAGAAATAAGGTTTTAAAATTTTAATAAAGAGAAACTGTAAGATAAAAAGTGATAAAAATTACTTAAAAGCTTTTAACAATGCTACTTTAATTTTTTAAATCAACTTCATTAAAACTTCTTCTTTCTTTCTTTTCTTCTTCATTTCTCTCATAGCGAACGGAGCCTTAAAAAGCTCCAATTTAATCATCATTCTTATTGAGCCACTAGAAAATACTCTTCTGGTTCTATTTATAAAGTACTTTCAACATGTTTTACACATACTAAGAAAAATATTAAACTGCATTAACTCTTTATTAAAATAAAGTAACTTTCTAACTTTACTCTTATTTAATATATACCTTTTTCTAAAAAAAAAACTATCTACACTATAATAAATGAAGAATAATATGATACATTCATGTTAAAAATTTAATGAAGTGACTTATAAATAAAACAAAAATTTTTTTTTTCTCTACTTTATAAATAAGACTAGCGAAGTACTGTGAAATTGAACACTTGAAAGAAAAACCCAGTATTGTATTGTCAGATAGGAAGCAATGTTTTCAAGTGCTGTTGAAATTCAAGCATGTGGCAAATTGTGAGCAACCAGCTAGATTTAGGAATTCAAGAGAGGCCTTCTTCCCTGGCCAACGAAATTCATGGAAGGTTTGGTCAAATAATTCATTTGGAATACTGATAAGATTTGTGCAGTTTCTCAAATTCAGGTGCTTGAGCCTTGGAAGCAGCACAATAGACGAATCAAGCCGCGATAATGAAGTACATCCTTCGAAATTTAACCTCCCTAGATTTGTGAGCAACACAAAATGTGGCAGCTTCTTTAAATATTTTGAGCCAGAGAGGTTCAAGCTTCTCAAATTTGGCAACCATATCTGAGTAAAGCGATCAAACAATAGTTGGTGCCTGTTTGGGAGCACAGTAATTACTAATTCGTCTCTTATTATAAAATCTTTGTAACTAACTTGCACACTTAAAAAAACAGTTAAAATTAGTTAAAAGTAATTAATATGTAGTAAATACAATTTTTTTTAAATATACCCCTATATATAAATAGATAAATATGAGAGAGTAATAATAAGATAAATGAAGAAAGAGAATGTATTAAATGCATTAAACTAGGGGTAAAATAGGTAATAATATATTAAATGTTCAGACAAACTTAAAAAGGATCTTATAAAAAGAGACAAACCTATTCAAAAAATTGGATTTTATAATAAGAGACGAAGGGAGTATCTATCATGACCTTTGTTTTGGCCTACACCCATCTAAACACTCATATTTTGGTTAAATCAATTATGAAATCATTAACCAAACACCTATATTTTGATTAAAATTAATTAGATATCCTCCACCAAATACAATTCTTTTTTATCAAGACTAATATCATTATTGGTTCTTACACTTTGATCAAATTTTAGTTTTGATCTTATAATTTTAAATCGTTGGTTTTGTTCCCTATACTCAGTATAAGTATAGGTACCAAAATTAAAAATCGTTAAAAATATAAAGACAATTTCTTATAAAATAACTGTGTTTTTGGGTTGATAATTGATTTTAACAAGTACTAGTATAACTCCTAAGACATGTTAGATTTTGAATCAAGAAATATGACATTCTTCACCTTTTCACACGTCCATAGTTCTGTGCTGCTGCTATCAGACATGACTAGTTCCACAAGTTGATGAGGTTGAAAATTTGAGGGCAAAAAAGTAAAAGGATATTTATGCCATGAAATATATCTCAATGAATTAGAAAGAAAATAAATATTTCCAGAAAAAATTATTTTATGAAATATAAGGAGCCTAAGATTACTCATTTTCCATAAACTTTCAGCTTTCAACGGACGGCCTTTCGGATATTCTTCATTCAAGATCACTGTAGCTTGATTGTGTGCAGCTCCCTGAATATAACGAACACATTATATCATAAATTGAAAAGCTAAACTTAGGAACTCTAAATAATGTTATATAAAGAAAATAAACAACTTTAGAATAATAAACTATCTTCATCCCAAAATATATTCCTTTCCTCAATAAAATTTCTCCTCCCCTTCCTTTTCATAAGATATATTTTACAAGCTTTTCATGTTTCATGATATAAGATCTGTTTTCTTTTATGAAAAATAGCGAAGCATTTATTAATTTGCTCTTCCAAAAATATAATGGCTTTCATTTACTAAGGTTTGCGACAATATTAATTGTAAAAAGATAAAATTATATTAAAAGCAATCAAATTACAGCTTTGAAATGTCACACTAAATTATGAAAAAAAAATCAGAACAATCAACTAATTTTATCCAACTTCTTTAATCTGTGTGATCTGGCATAAAAATATCTTATAAAAAGAAACTGAAAGAGTAATTTATATTCTATAATAAAATAGAGGTATATTCAGCATCCTGATCTTTTTTTTTTGGGTGTATTCAGCGTCTCGATGCCATTTTTTCATTTACATTTAACACCCTGATCAAGGTGTTGGATGTACTAAAAAAATAAGATCAGGGTGCTGGATACATTTGAGAAAAAGAATCAAGATGCTAGATGTACCATTATTCTTCTATAATGTTATTCACATCTATAAGATGTCCACGTTAAAAAAAGAAAAAGAAAAAGAATTAATATGCAATTGTTATCTTCTTTAGATCAAAACTAACTAACTAACAATATATACACACACATGAATGAAATAACAATTTACTCATAATAAGCAAAATTTTAAAAATAATACTTACATTGTTGCTCTCCATCACTTGACAAAAATCATCATAACACCATATTCTGCTCCTCTTTTCAAGTTCAGCAGATTCTCGTCGAATAATTTCTTTACCCATTTGTTGCACATAAAATGCATTTCTATTCTCTGATCTGATATTGTTACTAATGATTTATCGTAAGAACTGTAATTGGTTCATCAACACAAGACATTTCATAATTACTATGTAAAATCTCCTTCACACATTCAATCTTCTTCCCTCCGAAAAAACATGCAATATCTAAAAAAACCTCTTTCTGCAACTGATTCAGTCCATCAAAACTTCTTCTAAGCGCCATGAAAATTGAAGGCTCAATAACTTTCTGCGGTTCATTCAATCTAACATGCCATTCTGATAAACTTTGGCCTCTCAACAATGAACCTAATGATTTAATTGCCAATGGAAGGCCACCAGCAAATTTAAGTGCTTCAAAGGTCACTTCTTCATAACCTTTCATTGGATAATCACATCCAAAAGCAATCTCACAAAAAAGTTGAAGAGCTTACTCCGTGTTTAATAGCTCAACTTTGTGAATTTCATCAACTTCGATCATCTTAAGGATGTTCTGGTCCCTTGATATTATGATAATTCTACTTCCTCTTCCAAACCCATCTTTGCTTCTAGGAAAAGATTTCGACTTTTCTATCGTATCAACATCATCAAGAACTATAAGCATCTTACGTTGTCCCAGGCTTCTGCAAATGTTGTCCATTGAATATACACATTCTTGTTTTAAGGTTAGACGTAGAAGTACTTTTTCCATGAAGAATTCATATTCACTTACGTTAGCAAGGAAACATGAATCATTAAAGAGGGAGATCTTGTTAAACACTTGTTTCACAAGAGCTGTTTTGCCTATTCCTCCCATTCCACAAATCCCTATGGATCGGACAACATCATTGGTTGAGTTTAAATCCAAAAGCCGTATTAATTTTTTAAAACGATGAGATTGTATCTCCACTGGAGATATGGAGCCAGATTTGTCCATTTCTTTAAGAGTTTGATCAATGTCTTTTATCACTGTCCTGAAAGATCAAGGGACAAAACAAGAAAAAAAAAAAGCTCATCGATCATCAGAACATCAATATGATTTCTTCATATCCAACCAAATATATATACACATAGAACTAAATGGATATTACTACCTCGTGTTCTTAATATAAGATTTAGAACTAAGTTATGGATATTAAAAAAAAAATAGTTATATTAACTATTTATAATAAATAAATATTATCTTCCCTAAAATGTCTTTGTTAATTATGTGTATTAGAGCTACTTAATAGAAACTCCTTAAGATGTGTAATCATTATAGGCATTATTTGGGACAAAATAGATAAATATTAGAAACAAAGTAGATTAGAATTTTATATTTAGAATCAAATTAAATTTTTAATTAGTTTTTATATTAAGAATCGAAAATGTAGTGCTTACTTATTTTCGTTGCCTAAGATTTTCAATGCCTCTACAACAACTTTTCCAATGACTCGTTGCTGATCTCTCCCGAAGAAGATGAAGAGAAAAATTAATAAAACTGTTACGTACGTTCGCAGGCTGCAACGATGTGCTCCTACTAAAAATACAATCGTTGACCAGGTATATTTCAAACAAATATTTCCTATCCAAAATATTCTGAAGGATTTGATTGATTTGGCTGGCAATAATACTGACAAGATAAGAAGATTTTGTAATCAAGAGTTCAGATCCACCTTCAAAATATTCATGAATGTTCATCTGACATCATATAATATTTACGTGGATGGGAAAAAAAAAACCCTGGAAGATTCTAAAAGGATACAAAATAATTAATTAGCAAACGTCCGATAACCTTACAGATATATAAGGATGGGGGCCCACTTCTTCATGGGGTATTTTTGCACGCAAGCGAACATTATGATGCCAAAAGCATATTTGCAAGTACTTCATAAGTAGATTTATACTCTAAAATCAATGCAACAGCTAAGAGAAAGCTAAGAGAATGTTGCTTACTCATCTCGTACGACCAAATCTTCACGTTGGGTAAATACAGTGGTAGCTAGCCATCTTTGCACCTTTATGAACTTGTGAGAATCTCGTTCAAACTCTTGTATATTCTGAAAAAAGTAGCTATTTCGTACTTGAGACGGATCTAACTTGTAGAAAATTGGCAGAAAGCTGTGACCTGGTGTGTTCATGCACTCAACCGCCATGGCTGCAAGTTCCTGCTGGGGGCTAGTTGAGACAATATATTTTTGGGAGAAGAGAACCACATAAATCTTGTATTTCTCTAAGGGATGTTGGTCGGGATTAATGGATTTCCAGGAGTAGCCGTTATTAGGCAAACCCCTTCTATTTAGAGCGTCAGAAAGATCTCGAACAAATGAACAAGTATCCTCAGAAATGAAACTTAGATACACGACATGATCACTTCTCCAGATACTTGCAGAAGTTAATGAAGATGATGTTGAAGAAGATGATTGGCTACTACTCTGCAAATCCATTCAAATTATAGTAGAACAACCTTAGTTACTCAAAGGTTTGTTGTTTCTAACAATGTCAACACAAATTACAAGATCCATTATCTTCCAGTTCGGTATTAGTTCATATGCTATCAAAATCAGTTTTTTAAAAAAGGATTATTTGGACTTTTAGGACATCCACATTCGACGTTGTGTGATGTGAGCTGTCCCCTGTCGGATTAATTACAAAATTTGTATGATGTATTATACATGTGGCAGTTGTGGGTACAAAAGAGAGGGTTGAAGGATTATTCAACAGATTGTTTTTTCGCCATTGATTTGGTAAACGGATATGCTCTTTCATAGCCATATTAAGAGAAATAGTAATTTAATTATTTGTAATAAACATGTGTTAGTTTTTTTTAAAATGCCTCTTGATAATAATTTGCATTAAAAACTATGTACTTATTAATTTATAAATAGGTTTAGAGGTGTATTTGGTCGTCTTAGATATTTATACATACGCACTGACATTTGACTTTGCGCAAGGTGACAAATAATTGCAAAATACTAATATAAACCGGCAGTAACCTTTTGTGAACAGCCCATTAAGGGGACAAACTACAAAAATCGTATGATGTATATTCAAGGAATGGTGTTAAATTTTTTTAACTTCTAGGAATATGTATATGTGGCAGTCATGAGTACTAATATATAAATGAGAGATTTGACCGTTGTTGGTTAGGGATTAGGGATGCTTCCTTTTCATATAGTCATCTTTTTTTTTTTTTATTGGATAAGTATTCTTCATAAAGTGAAGGATTTTCGCCTCTCCCAATAAATGTGTTTCTCAGGACTCAAACTTGTACTTTTGTTTTTATAAGAATGATGCTGCTTACCATCTCAATTAACAACATATAGTCATCTTCTACGCTTAAATTAAATATTTGAATTTTACTTAAACCAAAGAATGTATTTAAGACCAACCAGTTTTTAATTAACTCTTATATTAAAGATATGAAGTAATATATGTTTAATGCAAATATTCTAGTTTAAGATGAAGGGTCCCTAGGAATCTCTCAGTTATACACTCAATCTTATTCAGAAAAAAGATTCATTCCTCAAATCATCATTAAGCTAATACTATAAAAGAGATTAGAGATCTGATCATGCACAATGAGATGGTTATTGTTAACCTTTCTTTTAGAGGGGCTAATATATGTGGTGCTTGCTTGTTAAGCCCATTACATGAATTCTACCCAAAACATGACAATTCAAATAAAATTTTATGCATAAATGTGATTTATATGGAGTGCTTCCAGAGATTTTGACTTGTTCAATAATTGAGTTTTTATTTGTTAACTGGCTCCGCAGATTGATCTGTTCAACAGGCATAATCAATTATTGAACAAGTCAAAAATGGAATAAAAAAAAAAGGAATCCCCTGATCGATATGTAACGAGCTCGAGGACTTTATGCCATTCGGATAATAATCTTTGGGCCTGACAATTGTGGGCTAGCCCATTGGGCCTTTTCAATTTGACCTCAAGAATTTTACATCACATCCTCATCTTTATCACTTGACCATTCTTCCACACCATAAAAGAATTATGATCAGCACATTGTCGGTCTCATGTGTGTGTGTGTGTGTGCAGTTGCAATGTTGTTATAATCCATAAAATTGCGGTTATTGTAGGATTCATAATTAGGCTCAACATTTCAAATGATAAAAAATTTGATGCATGTTTATTCTTTTGAGTTTTGATCTTAAACTACGTGTACACTTAATCAAAAATTAAGTTTCATCAATATAATAATAATAATAATAATAATAATAATAATAATAAAGTGCCTCATGTGACATCTTTGTGGTATGATTTATCTGTCTTGAATTTTTTTTTTTTGTTAAAATATAGGTATCCTCCTATTGGAGGCAATCCTATTCGAGGTACTGTCGGGCACTAAATGTCTTGAATTAGAGCTTCATGACAATAACCCTTTAATTCATAAGCATAAATGCATATCCAAGTGGACCCGGCCCATTGACGGCGAGCCCATTCGGCCCATCCTCAGCGAGGGCAAAAGAAAGGCCAGAATTATAATGGAATACAACTCAAAAGAATGATCAGATGCGTTTATAATTCACACAATGAAAATGAAAAACAGATATGAATGGGAAACGAGTATAATCAATATTCAGAGAATCATCTTCCTCCATTGTGAGAAGAATTCCCCATGTTAAAGCATATGAAATTAATTAAAGAATCATTGATGATCCAAACATTCCTGAGGATTAGTGTAGAAGTAGTCTTCCTCCTTGGGTTTTCCAGGAACCGTAGATCTCATTGTAGGGTTTCCTACGCGATCTGCATGAACTGCCTTCACTTCAGTGGAGAATTCATTCCAACCTATGGTTCCATTTTTGTACTGGTCTATCAGTTCCACCAACACCTTCCTGTCCAACACTATCGTCTTCTTAAACCCTAAGTACCTGATCATCACATCATCATACACAAAAAACACCCCTCAATTTTCTAATTCACAAGACCGTTTCACGGCGGAAAAGGCTTTTCACATCGGCTTCGAGGAAAGACTTGTAAATAAGCGTCGTAGAAAGTGACTTTCCATGCCATTTAAACAAGTCAACCGCCATAGAATGATATCGAAACACAAAAGACTCTCATTTTTATGGTTAGAAAGAGTGTAATTAAAAGATTTAGAGAAGAAACTAAGCGCATACCTTCTATGGCCTTCAACAAGTTTTGCCATGTGACCTTTGTAAGTTGGTACGAATATGTCACTTTCTATTGACACGTAATAATCTATGGCTGCCATTTGGTTGGAATGGTTCCTGAAGGGTTCAAGCTCCCATGAATCCAATAACGTCTCCTTCTTCACCTAAACACAAAGGAAACAAAACTAAGTAGTAAAAATAGCTAGCTAGTCATAATACATCAGAAACCCGATTCTGATCTGATCTTCCAAATACTAACCAGATTTGGAAAAGCTTGCTTGAGATCCACCATTCTTTTCTCAGCTTTGTATATATCTCCAGCAGCAATATAGACTTGAATGTCACTATCAATCCCCAATGCACGTAGCGTTAGAGCAGTTTCTTCTGGTGTTAATGGGCACAGACCATCAGTTCTTTTCTTCTCAGAGTCTATCTCCTTCTCCTTCCACCATGGATACGCATATCTATATATACGAATATAATTTCTCATACACTCGGATTCTGTTAATATACATATCGATATGATGATATATATATATATATATATACAAATATAATTTCTCATACACTCAGATTCTGTTAATATGCATATAGATATGATGATATATATATATATATATATATTTACCTCATTTTAGTGAGTTCGTCGATCTCTTCTGGGGCGCAACCTTCGTTGCAACCAGAGAAAGCGATCATGTCCATTTCGTAACGAAGATGAAGAGCCAAGTAAGGTCCTCTCTGCTTGAGGATGCTGACGATCTTCTTTGCTATTTTTTGGATTGGTGGAGAGAATTTCAGAGACTGGTAGTTAACTCTGCATCTCAGTTTCTGGACTTCCTCAGGAAGGCCATTGTTGGCCAGCCTTGCGTCTGATTTCGTGAAGTGCACAACTTCGTATGTTTTTATACGAGGAAGAATCTGTTCATTGTCATAATAATAACTACCACTTGCTCAAAACGTACAATTCATAATAATTCATATATGAAATGGGATTTATACGTACATACGATGTATCAATCTAGAAGAAGACAAGAAAAAAAAATAGAACTGGTCTGGTCCCACTTGATTGAATTATTCCATCACTCATTCAAGAAATTCATAAATGTAGAAAAGTAGTCATTCAATATTGACATCGGAATCAATTTTTCATAATTATCCGATGTGCATGTATGTTGTAGATTTTGCAAAATAAGCTTGATTTGTAGAAAATACTCATTTGTTGTTATTGCAACTACCTAATGACAACTTTACATAAATTAGTGAAAGTAGTTAAAATTAGTTAATTTTTTTATAAAATATCCTTATTACCTTCAATAAAAGTCATTAGTTATAGGAGTTTAGTTAATTACCTAAAAAGTTTTATAGTTACAAATATTAAGTGAAAAAAACTTAATACTTTAAACAAAACATATTATAATACTCCTATAAAACATGTACAAGGACCAGAGGGAGTATTACTTACGACATCATAGTAATAGGTCATGTTGGACCAACTAATGGGTGGCATGGAATAGAGGGATTCCAATTCCACCTTTTGCTTCTGTTTGGGAGGCAGTTCCTTCAATATTTTAACCTCATCTCTCAGCGATGCGATTAAATAATTGGCATCAAATATGTCCGGGAATTGGCTGCCATATTCACAACCATAGAGTATTTAATTTATTGATCACTATGTTAATTTAGCTTTTCAACACATAAATTAACCAAATCAAACGATTAAAATCATTCAGTTTTATTAGACAAGTAATAAACTTTTTTTTTTCCTTATCATCCTTCACTTGAAGAAAGAAACTCACGCACCTATCATGCTTACAACAAGTTGAACTTGTAATTTCATGATTAAGAAATTTTTGAAAGAGGTGTTTATTTAGTGTCATTGGGTCAGAAGGCCCCGTTAATAAGATAGAGATATATTGGCTATGTTAATGTTCGATAATTATAGACAAAATATTTCTCTCACCTATGGTCATTCCAAAAGGAGGTATTGTCCAATTCAGGAACTATAAGTGTGACATTCAAAAACCTTGCAATGGTAACCATGTCACATATCTGCACGAAAGTCAACCAAATTAAGAAGAAAATGACCCATTAAAGAAAGATGTGTGTGTGTGTGTGTGTGTGTGTGTGTGTAAGAGTAAAGAAGACTAGGACCTCACAGAAAAGAGACGATAGTAAAGAGATTTAGAGAAAGACATATAAGACCACGCATTCTATGGAATTTATTATTTACACAAAGAAAATAAAAATATTAATATATATTTTATGTCACGTTTGATACAAATATATATTTGAGGGTTCAAGCAATGAAAATGGAACGATTGAAATATTTTTCCTAATCGATGACATGACAAAATGCTTACTCCAGCTCGCATTTGATTCAATCCTCCATTGGAAGAAACCATTAGGTATCCATTATTCTCATAAATCCCTGCAAGCAAATAAATAAGGCACTTAAATTTTTTTTATAAAACTAGAAATAAGGGAAAGGAATAATATCCTCTAAAACTAGATATTCAAAATTTAAAACTTTATTAATGAACTTGAAAAGGGAATAAGCTGAATAATAACGCCGAGGGGCATGTCTTAGATAACGATATATATATATATATATATATATATATATTTATATCAAGAGTATTTAAGTCAACTTCTTGTTAAGATTCATGAAAAGGATATAATCCGATCCCCATGAATCACTAGATTCCCATTAACTTTTCAGAAAATCCTAATTAAAACTCATGCATGAGTGGGACGAAGCCAATTTGACTAACAAAACAACATTTAGTGCTCTCCCCACGGGGGAAAAAAACTACTTTTTAACTTTTAAGGAGACTGAATAATATTATTAATTACTTCAGGCATTCCTTAACTCCTTATAATAATTACCTCTAACTAACTAAGATGAGATGGTCAAGCCATTAATTAACTTTATCAGAAATGTAATTAATTCCCCACTAGGTAACCTAGCATCATATCTATTTCTTCCGAGAAAAGCGTTATAATAAGAATCGGAGGAAAGAGTAAATTTATGAGAAGTAATCACATGTCCGGTTTGTGTGTGTGTGTGTGTGTGTGTGGAGAGAGAGAGAGAGAGAGAGGATACGTACTTGGGGGCGGGAGATGGGAGAAGAAACAATTCGTAAACTGGACTGCAAAAATCCAAATCATGAAGACATAAGTGAAGAGAAGAACCCATAACTTGAATCTTGAGGTTGAAGATAATCTTGACTTTGCCACCATGAAGAGCTTCAGATTTGCACCACCCTTCAATAATCCTCCCTGTAATAACAAACCTCTCAGTTTCTCAGACTTAACCCCTCCGATGATCAGACTTTTCAGCACTTCTGCGTTCAAAACTCCCACATACTTCATCTTCCCATGTGACCCCTTCTCTCCTTTCTCCTCCACGTCTTCTGAATCATCAAAACCATTCTTCTTATGCCCCATGCTGCTTCAATGAATGAATTTACTAACTTGTTGATGATATAAAGCTATATATATGTTGGAGAGAGGGCAACAAACAAAAAGGGACGAGGACTTTTGCTTTAGGGTATGAAGGATTGGAAATGGAATATCCCTCAGATGAATGGAGGACTGAAGGAAGAAGAAGGAGAAGGCAGTGATTAGAGGGGGATGTTTAAAGGATATTTATAAAGATGAAGAATGCTTTAATTTCTGAGAATAAATATATGAATTAATGCCCTTCCTTTCATTGCTATTATATGTGTCGTTGAGTGTTGTGTACGGAAAAACAATTGATGAAAACATTGATTGTGTGTGTTTCCGTTGGATAATATCATGGGAAAATCACTATGTATTTTGAATGAAGGAATATACTCTCTCCATCTCTTTTTATAAGAAACAATCTCTCTTACAGTGGTATTCCTAAAAATAAAAATTATTTGTCTGGAATTTTAAACTAATCTTTTCATTTTTACTTCCATTAAATATGTCACTTACTATCTTTATGCAAGAGATCTCCACTCATTATCTCTCATAAACATGTACTCCTCTGGTCCTAAATATAATATCCCTTTTATAATATAAATTACACTACAAAAGGAGTTTTATATTTAGAACCGAAGGAATATAAATCTTACACATTTATTGCTTTTAGCTAATATTTTGAACTATGTAATTTTGGTAGTTATTTCTTATAATAAGAGAGAGAGGAATCTCATAAAAAGTGAATAATAAGTTCTAATACAAGCTATGATGATAAGGTTCATGTTGCTCGCTTGTGATTTTTCAGTGATTATATTTTTTTAAGACCTTGTAATAATTTCCTCTAATATAATTTGCTCCCAAAATAAAAGAAAAATATTCTTGTAGAGTTGTTTTCAGCTGATTAACAATGCATTTAAAGGAACTCGAAATGGTAATTTCTTCAAGATGTGGTTATTTAAGAAAGGTAATCCAAAACTCCAAGCCAACTTAAGCATTTATAAGGGAAGAAAAATCAATTTATAGCATGTATTTCCCACGGATTATTTAACTTTAAATTTTATTTTCAAAATATTTTAGATAATAAATGAATATGTAATAGAAACATAAAATATAAGGCTCTATCTTCTATACTATAAACATCACAACTTATTTTTCAAATTTCATATATCTAGTTAATTAGACAATATTTGTTCACAAGTATGTATCCGCACACACAAACACACCCTCATGATTTATGAAATTATATATTTTGAATTTGTCATATTTAGAAACTGTCATATTGCTTGTTTATTACGCACTACTTTAATTTCCTTTCCGGATGGTGATTTTTTCTATTCTAATTAATCTTGTTCTTTTGTTCAATCTCCATTAAAGAAGAAAAGGATGGACATTAATTTTCTTTCGGAAATTGTAATAAATATTTATTTCTATGATTAGATTTTTCGTATCAACAAATTAATAGGAAGTTATAAGCAAAACACAAAGAAAGGATACGATGAACAGATGTTTTTTACTTTGAGAAAAACGTAAGCATTGCGTCATTTTATTGGAAATTAAATCTCCTGGATTCTAAATCATAACATAAAAAAAAAACCTCTTGGATTCCAAATGTTTGACATATCAAAAGAGAACACAAAAATGCCTCGTAGTCTAATACTATTACATGAATTATACATCTTTGTATATTCACCAAACTATTGATTGTGTGATGATCAATTAAACACAGTCTCTTTTATACATTACACAAAGTTTATTAAATAAATTGTTCTATTCATTATATATGTCTTGTCATCGATTTTATATTCCTCCGGTCCTAAATATAAGACCCCTTTCGTAGTATAATTTATACTACGAAAATGGTCTTATATTTAGGACTGGATGAGTATTTTATTTTGATTTGATTTGAGGTACTTATAGAGTTTCAGCTTCATAAAGTTGATTGATTTGTTATTCAAGTTCTGAGCTTAGTAATAAAATGAACTTTTATTTGGATTTCTAGTGAAAGCTCTATTCAGCTTTTAAGCGCACATTGTTTCTCTCTTTTGAGCCTGACGTGACTTGGATCTAATTATTTATTAGTAGTATTATACATCAAATAAATCTCACTTAAAAAAGATTAGAGTATAATTCATAAGAAAGTTAGGTATTTAGCCTTTGGAATAATATAATAAGAAACGCGATGAATGAATAATTGCCCTAAAAAAATACATTACAACTCTTAAAGTATTTTATGGGATTCCTATTACAAGGTACTTCCAACTGTCTCACGAGAATCAATGGAAGTGTTTAAATCATTTAAAAGTAAAATATTTTCTGAATTTAATTTACCTATATCTAAAATCATCAATTTTTTAGCCACATTAAAATTATAAATTACATTTGAGAAGTAAAAAAAATGAAAATTGCATAAATTTTTTGATCCAGAAAATTGCATAAATTTTAAATTGGAGCAATACTGAAGAATGCAATTAATATTCCACCTGACCAGTTTTTTTTTAATGGTACAATCCACATGGTTAGTTATAATAAGGATCATTTGTCTGATCTTACAGGCAAAGGTATCAACAAAATATTGATGATAATTTTTTTTCCTTGGTCTAAGTGTAACAAAGTATATGCGTCATGATGCAATTGAAATACTACCTTCAGCCTTTACTATAAAAGCTACTTAACTAATTTGAGTATATTAAAAAAATTAATTAATTATTTGTAACAAAAATAATTTAATTTTCTTAAAATATCCTTTTTAATCATCATCATACCTTAAGACGAAAACCCTTTAATATGATAAGCAATAGAAATATTTTACAGTTTGTATAAAAAAAAATATATATTTTACAGAATAAATTACAAATTTGAAGAGACAAAATAGATTAAAATCTTATATATATGATCAAATTCAATTCCTAACTACCTCTTACATTAAGTACAAGAAGTAATACATTGAATTCAACGATTTTCATGATTCATTATAATAGTGATATGGGCAAATAAGAACACGTTTTGGTTGGAACCTTCGTCTATTCTCTCATTTTCGTTGAAAACAAACAAATGGCCATTGCTCCATGGGTAAAATCAACTATTCATATAGAAAATTAGAAGTAATGTCGATGGAAAACATTTTTGTTCATAATAAATGTGTATATGAAAATTAAATCCAGAAAGTCATATAAATTAACTAATTTATTTCCACATTTTTATTTCGTTTTCTATTCATTCAATAATTCTGACAGTGGCCACAAGGTCGACGATAAATTTGGAGTCCAATTCACTCTACAAACGTACTGAAAGCAAGACAGACATCAACCTTGTCAAAGGTAATTAATGTTCTTTAATTTATATGCTCTTTCTTTTTATAAATGATACACAAATTATTTAAGAGGTAATTTTCAAGAGAATAGTCATGTTTTATGGTGTATAAAATATACATGTAAATCGCATAAAAATTTGCTGTTCAGTAGCTTGGTGGAGTTCTCGTCGTATATGTTGTACTTCATACTCCCTTGGTATCATAAATAAATATAAGACAAAAATTTTAATTGCCGAAGTCTATATCACTTTCAGTTATTTGATGGATCTAATTAAAAATAGGGATGCTTTAGTAGAAAGGTATTTTAGTAAATTTTCCTGAGATTCAAATCTTTAAACAAGCTTAGTCCTAATTCGAGATTTAACAGTCTTTTGACCCTACAATGAAGAGTTTCTCTTTGGTCCTCAAATGTCATTACCAATTTTTCTATAAGAAACAATTATCACTTGTTCCTTTTTATAAGAAATAATTAGCACTAATGGCTTGGTCTTATTTATAAAAGAGATTTACATAATGTTTCATTTTTTTTTTTGGGGTTAATTTTTCATTTCATCCCCATTTAATTACTCATTTTAATATTAATATATTTATTATCACAAAGACCAAAGCATTTTCTCTGCCGCACATTTTCTTTAAAAGAATTACAGTTTTTACATATTTATTATTTATAACCAATAATTATTTCTTATAAAAAGAAAGAGGTAAATTACAAGTACAGTCCAGGGCCAATGTGAGTTCTTGCTTGAAAGTGAAAAGTATGAATTGTCGTGAAATTATCATGTCACAATTTAAAGCTTCATTTGGCATCAAAAGACCAGCTTCCCAAACGCAACTTCACTGTCAGTTTCATCCCCTCATTCACCTTGTGTGTTACAAGGAAGGACTTTCTGTTGAATGAGATCAAAATCATTCAATCTTCAGAGTCTCAACTTTTTCCTTTTCGGTTTTCACAGCCATCCAATCCAGTTTCTCCCCTGCAAACGGTGCATACACCAATCCTTTAAAACAAGTTCTTCAAGTACCAACAAGTGACTCTGCAGAATGCAGTTGCCGGTTGGTAACCTGAGGAAAAAATGGCTATGAAGTTTTATAAGAAAAAGTTGCTGAAAACTCTTCTATTACACAATTTATTACACAAAAGTACCTAAGAACCTAGGTCCATAAGTGGGTGCAACAGGTGCAACACATCTCCATCTATGTACAGAATTGCGCAAAACTGAAAAAGACTTGCACCCACCAAAGATCGGTTGCACCTGGATCTTAAACAAATTTCATGCAACTTTGGACAATAAATTTTGCAATAGAGGATTTTCCAGCAATTTTCCCTTTATATAATGTGAAATATTTTTTTACCTCTCTGAGCACAAACTGCAAATTGTAGGTTCCAAATGTGATCTTGTAGACATCTTTTCTTCAACTCTAAGGAAAGACTTCCACTGATTCAAGACAACCTCACTACAGTTCGTCAGATGAGTTTACTTGATTGTAGAGAATGGCAAAAGTTTTCATCAAAAAGGCATATTCATAAGCTGCTTCATCGCAATGACCATAGTGACCACCTTCACCAAAATGTCCTCCTATCATGCTCGTCTTCATGATAGCCGCTCGAGAACAGTTAGAACAGGTACTATCTCGTACTTTAGCCACCCACTTGGCACCTTCCCAAACCCCAACCCTGAAAATGAATGTCATCAGATCTTCAGCAGTAACACATGTCAAATGAACAACTTCGTTATTTTAGCAAGGAAATACGCAAGGCATGCAATAGATGATAGGAAGTCAGAGATTGCCTTGAATCATTCAGTGCTGATGTGACGAGGACTGAAGGATAACATCGGCCTTCAGAAATATTGTCATAAGGTGAGTACTCGAAAATTGAGTTGAATTGGGACTGTCCTTGAGGATTTCCAAATTCTTCATAGTCAAGGATTGTAAGAGGCAAACTAGGGTCCAACAATGTGTTGCATATATCAAGAAATGGCACCTGGTATTCATCAGAAGAAAATTTTTCAGCACAAGAACATTATAGGTAACTAATATTTGAAAAGAAAAAGGAAAAAGAAAACCTTTAATATGGTGGCTCGAAAGAGATCTGGATACATATTCATAGCCGCGCCCACAACAAGGCATCCTGCACTCCATCCAATGGCACCAAGCTGATCTCTGTGAACAAAACCCTCATTAACCAGGTATTGGCCACATGACACATAGTCATATATTGAATTTTGTTTGTTCAATCCACTTCCAGATTGATGCCATGAAGAATCAGTGCCTCCACCGCCACCTCTACCAAAATGAACATTATCACATGCGTAAAACAGCATATAATTGTCATAAAAGTGCATAACATTTAATTTCACAGATAATACCAACTTAGTAATATAAAACAAGCCTGCAACCTCTTATTGGTATAGTTGTAACAACAAACATCAGGCAACCCACCTTACATCAGCAAATGCTACCACCCAACCACGGTCTAGTAAACTCAGGCGGTTTACACACCAGCTCTTATCCAAAACTTCTCCATATGCCCCATAACCTAGCAAGATTCCTGGAGATTCACCCTTCTTCCACGATTCTCTAGAGTACACAATGGTCAGAGGAATCCCCACACCATCATAGGAAATAACTTCCTCTCTCTGGCAGCAGTATGCATGAGAAAAGTCTCTCCAGGTCTTGGAACCAGAATTTGTTGTGCAACCATTTCTTACATTGTATGCCTCTTGAATTTTATCCTCATTCTCAAAAATCGGAACGTACGACTGACCAACAGAAGCACCATTTACTTCCTCTTGATGCACTATCGAGTATGCATGCTTTGACATGTCATAATCCACAATCACATCGGGCATCTGCTCGCCCCGAGAAAAACAAGTCAACTTCAAATATAAAAGTTCCATGCTTAAAGAAACTCGATATAGTACCACAACCACTATCTATTCAACAAAATCATAAAAGATAAATGCATTTAAATGAATTTATGACTTCTTCTGTGCCTTGATATCAAGTTGAAGCATACAAAAAGGATAGTAAAGTAGAACACTGGATTTTAATAATTAAGGACATCTTAAGTTAAACAGTTTTCAAGATAGAATACAAAGGGAAGTTTGGAGTTTAAAAATGTTCTATTTAAATGGTGTCTTAAACCCCTTTCCTAAAATGCATACGGGAACATCAGAGTCATGTTACCATAATACGTATTAGCATGGTGGTTCAAGTTTCAATAAGCAAAACTAACAGTTAAATACAGTATAAGGAGGAAAACCGAATATCAAATGCTTGAAAAATAAATTGGAAAATCCATACAGCCTGTTCTGTGTTCTCCTTACTGCCAATGCAGAGTTTCAACAAAACTTTTTAAGTAGAAATTTGGCTTTACATTAGCAGTTGGGATAACGTTATAAAATATTTCCATATATAACAGTACACGTTACACAACATAGTATGTTGAAAAAGTGTTCTGTTAATTTATTAGCTTGTCTTCCCTTAGGGTGGCATATTTCATGCTGAAATAAGCAAAATAAATGCAAATATATACCTTATATAGGTCCTAAACTCCTGATGATTGTGGAACGTTGATGAATTGTAGATAACAATATAGATATAGATATTCAAAAGCAATTTAATCCTTCTCAAATGAACCTAAAGTTAAATACGATTAAAAAATAATAATATAATGAATATATGAAGCAAATCTGCACCCCATAATTAGGTGATCAATGTAAAGCACTGTTAAATCTGCATCTGTCATGACATACCACAGGTGATGAAAGCACCACACGGTAAACTGTATTCATAAAGTCATGATTTGAACCAGGAACGGCACTGCATGCAGTTGATGGCATAGGAAAGTACCAGGGTCTAAGGTCCTCAATATCTATCTGATACTACAAAACAATTCAAGTTAGCTGCTGTCGTGAGCAAGTTCATATTAGCATGAGATAATATATTTAAAATTTTAATTTCATGGAATTGCTGATGCATTCTATAAGGCATATCCACATATCAGCATAATAATTTGCAAACAATCAATAGTGCAACAGTTCATATACCTTGCAATCATTTTTAACAGGTAAATTCAAGGAACATAGCACAGGAACGCCTTTCTTATTGAAGAGAAGAACCAGATGTCCATTAAAAATGTCCATATCACATATGCTCATATCTTTAGGAGGAAGAATGACATTCTGAAGAATAAATAAGCACGCCAAAGATGAGTTAGATTGATGCAATCAAATAAACATATGAACCAAAAAAAAAAAAAAACTTAAAAGAGTGATGATGGAAGCTAAGCAAACATGACCTGCCAGCTAGCACATTCTATATCTCCAACTCGGCGTCGAGCCAGATAAAGGTCTTTACCAGACCAATTACCCTCCGAAATTGGAGCATTTGTAAGTATATAAAATAAGCCATAATGATGTTCCACAAAGTACTGCACACCAGATGCACGCTTACATATTCTTTCTAGTCCATCCATAGGATTTGCAGCATTTATAACATAAACCTGTGATAAGCATCAAGATCAACACGTTGCTAGGAAAGGATAATCTCCTTTTAATTTCATAAGTGAAGATCTATAAGTTCCTTCCTCGGATGAAGTCCTTGAGTTTGAATTCACAGTTATGAACTTGCCATCTTTTGTGCTTGTTATGTCCACACAAAAACTGGAGTCACTCTCGGTAAATACAGGGAGATCGTTCACATGATCATTGGCAAGTTTTCTGTAGAGAACCCTACCATGTTTTCATTTTTAAAAAAAAAAAAAAGTTAGAATGAAAATTAATGTCCATAATACCAAAAAAGGAGCGTCTAAAAATTTTACCTGTAATGTATCCCGAAAAGATTTTACCTGTAAGGTCTCTGGTTTTCATCTGACAGAGTATAAAAGAGAGAACTTCCATCCTGTGCCCATGCCACATTAACAACACCTTCGACTCCAAATTTTGGATCTGTAAATCCGCTTCTGAGATCCTTCACCTGAAGCATGAATCGTTCACCACCAGAAATATCAACTGTGTACGCAAGATAGTTATGATCAGGTGAAACTCTGCATGTACCAACATGGACATACCCTGCAATATTAAACATATCAATCAATGAATTACAACAGGAAAGTGAGTTCAAGCAGAATGTTCAATCTCAAAGATTTGATCATAAAAAAATATACAAAGAAAGACAATGGCAATAACATTTATCAAATAGTTCGTTAGATAAGAAACTCTCCATATTTCTCAGCAAGTTCATTCCAATCAAGCAGGACTTCCTCCTGTGTTGATCTCAGAATTGAATAATGGAGAAAGGTCTTCAACCAGCTTGTTCTCTCTGTTCCTCGCCTCCGACACAGTACAGGATATTCCTTTCCCTCTGGAATGTACTCGTAATACAGCCTAACTAACAAAGGATAATATAAGCTGATGCTAGAAACAAATAAAGGAGTAATTTTTCTTTAAATCTAGTGTTAAGCATCAGTTTGAAAGTCACAGCAAACTAAAAGTTGAATTGCTCAGTCTATCACTCAACTAAAGCTTGCATTGACTCTCCTATTTGGTGAATTTAACAAAGCCTAGGTGTTACTCAAGACCCACACAACAAAGATTTTAAAATAGGTGAATTGACATTGTGATCTTCTAAATATACACTTTACACTACCATCATTTTATTAAGCTGGCTACAATGGACAGATTATGGCAGAATGTGAACTTGATGATCTGAGTTTCATGTTTGATGTGTTGCCAATTTTAATAATTTTTGAACTTAACGGCATTGGCATCACAAAACATTGAAGAAATCTCTTTAGAATGACAAGATCAAATTTTGAGTACACAAACTGAAAAGGGATAGGTGATTACAATAATATCAATTCACTCTTTTAAAATAAAATTATTTTTTATACTCAAATATCTTATGAATGAGTTTTTCTAGGGAAAATCCGTATTCTGCCAAGTATCAACCATGAACTAAATTTTGCCAGAAGCGGAAAGTAAACTGACCAGGGTCCCCAACGCTCAGGGGGAGTGGAAATGGAAGTGGGTATTCGACTTCTCATCTCCGACGACAAAGAGGATTGCAGATTGAGGGTATCGGCCATGAAAGCTTGGGCGTAGGTGTTTTCATGGTTGAGATGATCTAAGAGATCTGGGTCCTCAGTGTTGGACATCCAATGATAAGGGTCTTGCCACGTCTTGCCGTGCACTGAGACGGTGAAAGGGACCTTCTTTGGGGAGGGAGGTGACTGTGAAGGTAGGGTGAAAGGGAGTCCTCGGCATCTGGAAGAGAAGAAGCAAGAAGGAATGGTGCGACATAAAGCTGAGATAGTGAGTCGGTTGTTCTTGGAGCGGACAAGGAAGCGAAACGCCATTGAAACAGAGGACTGAGTCACTGAGATTGTACGGTAGCATTCCGGCGCCAGATATATCAAACTGGCTGGCGGATTTCGCTTATGAAAATGAACCCTTGCTTTTTCATCCAAAAAAAAAAAAACCAAATGAAAACTTTAATTAGGTGGATTTTAACCTCCTTTATATTTTATTCTAATTATAAAAATGTTTTTTATTTTAAAAATATACCCTTGAATTTATACTGTTAACTTTTTCATTAATAATATTTTAAAGGATGCTTTTTTAATTAAAATTTTTGTTAAAATTTTTTTTATTTATTAATTTACCTTTCATAATATTAAATTTTTAAATTTTGGCTAAAACTATTTGAAGAATTTAAAATTTTTTTACTTTAACTTAATTTTAATTTTAATTTTCATAAATAGTTATTTTTTAAATATTTTTATAGTATTGGGTCAAAAAACCAAGTAATTTAGTCAATATAAACACAAAAAATTGAATAAAAATTTAATTAATTCTTCAAACAAATATTTAATCGATTAAATAAGTTATAAATGTTTGCAACAAATTTTTTATTTACAATTTAAAATTATAAATTCAAATAATTTATATAATGTCCCAAACTCACATAATTTATCTTATATGAATTTTATAATGTAATTAAAATTAATAAATTTTATAACATATTCTAAAGTGTGAAAATACATGTACTCGTATTACAATTATTTTTTATTGTGTAAAAAATTATTTCTTTTGACATATATAAATGTTTATATAACGCTTATGTTAAGAAGGGCTATCTTGATCAAAATAAAAGTTTGAAAGTCAAACTTAATAGTTAATTAATGATTAAATGAGTGAAAATAAAATCTCCAATATATAAAAGAGGTTTATATAACATATATTTTAATTTTAATGGAAGGTTATATACATTTTCAAAATAGAGAAAAAAATTTCTATAATTTAGATAAAATAGATGGGTAACAATGTATTTTATTCTTCTTAATTTTATCCATTTTTTCCCATTCATTTCCATAAATTTAAGAAAAGATTTTTTTTTTTTTGGGCAGAACACAGGGGCAAGAAGGCTTATGAAAAAAATTCATTTGAAATAATATGGGAAAATGGGCATAACTCACCACTCCCTCTCGTATATAAAAAGTTTTACAGAAAAAATAAGAAAAATTTAGTTCAAAATATCAAAGCTATACAAAGTAATTAATTATTTTTTTAATTAAAAATAAATTTATTAAAAAGAGAATTACAATGAGGTCCCAAGTAAGGAAAACAGTTAAAAAACAAGTCTCAGAGGTTATCATTCTCACTATAAGACTTGTTATTATAGACTGTTGAGGTTGTTATTAGTAATTATTTCTCTTCTGTAAAACTTGATTGTAATTTTTTTTTATTAAAAGATAAATGGATATAGATAAAAAAGTCAGCTTATTACAGAAAAATTATTTGAGTAGAGCCCAAACAATCAGTAGACAGAGGCTGGCCTAACATAAAGTAATGGTAAACAAAATGCCTAGACTGAAACTCAATAAACCCATGGCTCGTCATGCACCAGCATATTAATTGCCCCGCACAATTAAAGAAGTTCAGCCCATCAAGAACCTTACGAAGATGGACTCTTGAGAACCATTGAAACACGCTACCCATGAGACCTTTTTTTTTTTTTTGGGACCGGACCCGCCATGAGACATTAAAACAAAGCCTCACAACATATATACTACAAAGGGTATTGAAATTTGTTGGGTGTCATGATGGGGAAAGCAAGTCACCCATGAAGAACCAGCTGTCCCTGCGAGACGCTAATTAATGATAATTTAAAGTACATTTAATAATTAATAATTTAACTAATATTCTTTAATTTTTTCATTTTGTGAAAAAGGTTAACTAATATTGTATGTTATGAACCGGAGAAAGTAGTAGGCAGGATAAATGGACAGTAACTTGCTATTCAAACCCCATGGGACACTAGGCATAATTGAAATACTCCTCCGGTCCTAATTATAAGACCCAATTGACTTATTTGAGGATATTAAGGAAGTAAGTTAAGTTGGTTATTTATAATAAATAAGTGTTGTTATTCCTAAAATATCCTTGCTAATTAAGTATATTGGCTAAAACTATCATTATTAAAAAGATTATCTTGGAAAAAAATGCATAAATATAAGAGAGAAAATGGATTGGGTCTTATAATTAGGACCAAATAAAAAGTCAAATTGGGTCTTATAATAAGGACCGGAGGAGTACTATACAGTTTGTTGGGCATCAGATATAGTTTGGAATTCTAACTCACATTCTCCAATTTTGCTTCAATTAATTTTATGTTATATCTTGCATTAATTATTATTCACTCACACTCTCTATGGATAAATGAAGACATGATTTTAAAAAAAATAAAATATAGTTTTTATATATTCGCAGTCTTTAACCAATTTTATATAAAAATTATAAAATAATCAATTATATAAAATTGGGAAAAATTATACAATTAAAATTGGTATTACCTCATGTCCTTAATATAAGAGCTACTTGACTGATTTAAGTAGATTAAGAAAGTTTGTTAAGTTAGTTATTTGTAATAATTAAGTGTTATCTTCCCTAAAATACCTTTGCTAATCATGTATGTTAGCTAGAATTAGAACTATTAATTAATGGATCATTTAACATGTATAATTACTACAAGGATTATTTTTAAAAAATAAATAAATATAATACGCTAAGTGAATTGAAATCTTATATTTATGATTAAATTAAAAATTAAATTAGTTTTTATATTAAGAACCAAAAGTAGTATAACATGTTTTGTGTTGTATTGTCGGCGTACAATAAACAATATGACCACTTAAAATCATCTGAAAAAATCAATCAAGGAAGATAACCTTTATTGTTGGTTTTGTCAAGTAAAACACGTATCATCTTGAAAGAATGACATTTCACGTTCAAACAATTAAATTAATAACAATCAGATTTAAAAAATTAAAAAAATTGTAAATAACTATGTAGACAGTCGTACACAAAAATCTGTCCTAAAGTGACACTTGCCTTTTAAATTTATACATATATTGAAGATTTTTAAAATTAAATTATAAATTTTTATAGACTAAATTCTTCTTATCCGTATATTTTCATATAACTATATAATTAAATTAATGTCAAAAATTAAAATAAAAACATATAATTCATTGTTAATAGTTATTTTATTAGTACAAAAATAGTAAAAAAATTAAAAAATAAAAAATCAAATTTAGAATCAAAATCTCTAACAAAATACAAAGTTATATATAAATTAAGTAAAAATAATAAAACTTTTTCTTATTAAAATTAAAATAGAAATAGTAAAAGAATTTTAAAAAAAATAAGAACTAGCAGGAGTGAGTTACGACTTAACGAGTGCGGACTAAAAAAAACCATATCAAAATGATTCTTATTTTCTTCAATCCCACGCACCACCTCATGGAGGTTTGGAAGGTTGAAGGGTTGAGCTCACCAGCTCCAAAAGGAGCCATAAACCAATTTGCTTATGGTGGAGAGCATTTAGGAAGAACACATCAATGAAGTAAAATATGTCCTATTCAACCCAAAAGGAAAAAATAAATAAATAAACAAATATGTATATTATGATTTATTTCAATACTAATGGAAGTTAATATCGATCACAACATGTATAGAATATGTGAGGGGATAAGGATCAGATACAGCAAGCAAGAGAAAACAAAGAATTTGCTTGCATGAACACTAACTCGGCATCATCCTAAAACCTAGTGCAAATTGTAGAACAGCCGGGTAGATTAATTTTCGTGATGCTAAGGCAAAATTTAAATCATATATATTTTTATCAACCTAAACCTATTTAAAAATAAGGCCAAAAATACAGAGAGAGAGAGAGAGCATTCAGAATCTACAGCATAGGAGGCCCTGCCTCCAACCCCTCTTCTTCCGGCAGTGTCTCCGGTCGGCTTTTGCCATTCTAACTGGACTGCTACTCCATTCAGATTGAAGTCTGTAAGCACAAGAACAAAACCAGTATGTTGCTCAAGAAATTCCTAAATGAAAGATAATCATGAGAGAAAATAAGACTCAGATAATGTTGCTTAAGCATTTTGTTATAGAGTTCCTGTCAAAAAATATAACATATGGACATTTTTAACTCCTTTAAGAAATTCAATCCACATGTTATAATTCTGGAGAAGAACTTGATAACCAAAAAGCCATGAACTTGAGTTTGTTTCCAATGAAAAGCTTTTGATGCAAGTTTATAGCAATTTACACTGGAAAGGCAAAGGACCGCGTGCTAGTTGTGCTGCTATCTGATCTAAGAGAGATGCTGCCGGAATAAGGCACTGGATCCAAGCAAGTTATCCGACTCGATACCCGACCGACGGCTGAGAAACTCGTCTCGCCCAAGCTGTGACGTCCAGACTCTGATGAATTTCGATCATCATTGTGTTTAGGCTCGCCCTTCACATCTACAGACTCTGATGAACTTCGAGCACCGTCGTGTTTTGGCTCACCAACTCTGTCAGATTCCTCTTTAGTGCTGGCTGCAGCAAAAGGAGGATCAAACTGAGAAGTGACGCCGCAATTCTCCGGTGTGCCAGCATCGCTGACATTACCATTTGATTCTTCTTCTGCTTTAGCAGAAGACTTTGAGACAGCTTCCTCAGCTTTATCTTCAGATTCCTTAGGCTTGGAGGGCAATTCAGGCTCACAAGAGACCTGCAGATAAATCAAAATGATCACTTTCTAATATTTATCCCCTTTCCTTCACATTCATTAACATTAAGCTTCTCTTAATACCAGGAAAGGTTGTAAAACATGCTAAAAATAGTCAACCAATCATTCAAAAAGAATATCTATATCCCATGATTAATTTTATGTTATGCTCTAGGATGTTGAATACCTGTGAATAGTTTTGCTCAGCTTTGTTTCCTTCTTCAATCAAAGGCATTGACTGTTCTTCATCCAAATCTTGCAGTAAAACTTTGTATCCAGCCAATAACATCTCTTTATCGACAT